CTCCACTTCGCCGTAGGTTGGACACCGTTTGTGGTCTGTGCGACGGGGGCTGCTTGTCTCGCAGCGTGGATGATCCCACGAATGGCAGCACAATGGATTCTCGCCATCGGCACCATCACCATCTTAGTCTCGAATGCCCTCATGGCGACGGTGCCACTTCACCAAACGTACTGGGCACAAATTTTCCCCTCGGTCGTGCTTTTCTCCTTCTGTCCCGACTTTGTGTACACAGCGGCGCAGATCATTGCCAGTAATTCGGTCCGACGTAATCAACAAGGGATTGCGGGGTCCGTCATCGGCACACTTAATCTATACGGGAACAGTCTCGGTCTGGGGTTCGCCTCCACCATTGAGGTAGAGATAGCGCGCCGGTCAGGTAGTCAAATTATGGGCTATCGCGCGGCACTTTTCTTCGGCGTTGCCATCAGTGCCGTGGCGCTGATCCTTGATGTGTGCTTCGTCCGACTTGTCAAGGATGACCGAGAGGGCTGGCACGAAGATGACTTGGCAGAGGGTATTGAGCTAACCGACCAAGCTGAAGCCACCGGAGTGCATCTGCCGAATGCAAGTGCAAGCCATTGAACGTCATCTCGGCATCGAATGTGGGATGCCGACTCCAGGATCTGTCGTCGGGTTCCCCGTTTGAGCGTAAGCTTAGCGTTGCAGTGGATCTCGGTCGAATTCTGCTGCCGAGTATTGATTTGTCAAGGGTTGCATCGAATGACGTTCACGGGTCTAGTGTGTGTGTGGGGGAGAGTTGGGGAAAATGTATGGAGTACATGTATGGTTGGGGACAGCCACAATTGGATCCCGATTCATTTTTAAATTAAATACCTCACACGGTAGGAAACATGGAGTGATCCCGGGACAGAAAAGATAGGAAAAACAGGGGCCAAGCGAGTAGTGTGGGAGAGAAATTTGCAATTTGCGGAGAGGCGGGGAAGAGTCGGGTTTGCACAGACCCGGCTTGACCGCTTTCACATCCCGACCGGTTTGTTCCGCCGAGCCGATCTTCCTTTTCAAAACATCTGCGCTCAGGGACTCAGGGACTCAGGGACTCTAGGAGTCTGGGAGTCCGGGAGACTCGGTGATTCCTCTGGGGGAACTTTGGGAGACCTTCTCCTTTCAGATATCTCCTCAGCTCGCGTACCGTCACATTCAGGAATCAATACATACCGGACGGTGGGCCGCGAATGCCATTCGTCGGCTGGACCGAGTGCCCGGGGCATTCTCTGTCCCGGGGTGCGGACTCGGCCAAGAAACTATCTCCACTGTGGCCCCCCGCGTCTCATGACTTTGGGCGTGGGGGTACCGGGGTACAGAAAAAATCGGGAAATTAGCGCGGGGGGTGTGAAGGGTTTTCTGTCTTAAAGGGAAGATTCTGCCCCTGGCTGCCCGGTTGATTCCGTTCTCTACACAAGCTGCAGTCATGGCGGACGACATCTCACGAACTACCAATGACCGGATAGAGGTTGAGGCCGAGAAGGAGAGGTATGAAAATGTCGAGCACATTGCCTCAACCAAGCAAGAAGGCCTTGCTGCCCAGATGGACCCTGCTCGTCGTGCGGCCGTCGAGAAGCGTCTCAAGCTGAAGCTTGACGCCCGATGCAGTCTGTTCATCTTCATCTATATCATGAACTACCTGGATCGCAACAACATGGCGGCGGCCCGTCTGAAGGGTCTGCAGGATGACCTCCAACTCTCCAACACAGAGTACTCGACGTGTCTGAGTATTCTGTATGTGGGCTACATCATCATGCAAGTGCCCTCCAACATGTTCATCAACCGCATTTCGCGGCCCTCTCTCTACATCGCCTGTGCCATGCTCCTCTGGGGTCTCATCTCCACGTTGTCCGGTAACGCCAAGACCTTTGGACACATGGTGGCCATCCGTTTCCTGTTGGGCTTCATCGAGGCTGCCTTCCTGCCCGGTGCATTGCTCATCCTATCCAAGTGGTACACTCGCCGCGAGTTGACCTCCCGCAACGCCCTTCTGTTCTGTGGTAACCTCATCTCCAATGCCTTTTCTGCCCTTGTTGGTGCCGGTGTCCTGTCCAACATGCAGGGCGTCCTGGGCCACGCTGCGTGGCGCTGGCTGTTCTGGATTGAGGGTTCCGTGACCATGTTCCTGGCTCTCTTGGCGGCTTTCATCCTGCCTGATCTGCCCACCAATGCTCGCGGTTTCACCGAGGAAGAACTTCAGGTGGCTCAGCTTCGTATGTTTGAGGATGTCGGTGAAGCTGATACCGACTCCGAGGAGCTCGGTGCCATGGGTGGTCTGATGATGGCCCTGAAGGACCCCAAGATCTACGTGATGATGTTCACCTTTGTTGCCTACGTCGTTGGATTGTCTTTCAACGCTTTCTTCGTAAGTTCCATTCCAATAGCCCAACATTGCAACACATTGACTAACCGCCTCACAGCCCACTCTCACCGGTACTCTTGGATTCGGCTACGTCCCTACCCTCCTGATGAGTGCTCCCCCATGGGTGTTCTCGTGTATCTTCTCCGTCATCAACGCATGGCACGCGGATAAAACCCAGGAGAAGGTCTGGCACATCTTCGGGCCCATCGCCATGGGAGCCGTCGGGTTCATCATCAGCATGTCCACCCTCAACGTGGCAGCTCGATACGTCGCACTCTTCTTACAGGCAGGCTCCTACGCAGGATTCATCGTGTTCTACTCATGGATCAGTTCCTCCTTCCCACGTCCCCCAGCCAAGCGTGCCGTTGCCATCGCCATGATCAACGCATTCAGTCAACTGGGTAACGTCGCCGGCTCATACGTCTGGGATCTGGAGGATAACGGCTACCGATCCAGCTACGGAATTGTGCTGGCCATGTTCGGTGTCACGGTCGTCGGATGCTGGTACTTCCGCTTCATGCTGCTTGGCCTGAACAAGCAGATCGAGGCTGGTGAAATGGCCGACACGACGGATAATGATATCCTCGAGCATGCCGACGAGTCGTTGCGTATGCGGAAGGGTTTCAGATATCTTGTTTAAGCGGATTGCATACTTGGAGTTTCATAGTGTTTTTCTCCGGGGGACGTCATTACAAGTGCGTCGAGGGGTTTTTAGCCCTTCACGCTGGTTATGATCTATGAATGCTTGTAACAATGTGATGAGAAACGCCGGTCAGGGACCAGGCATGTTTTTTAAGGATATATACGTGATAACAATGAACTGGTTCAACAATACTTGCAATTCTACAGTAACGTTAGCTGTTAAAACGTATAGCTTCAGGAAAATAGGCAAATAGTCATATTAATACAGCATAAAATGCCTTTCAAATCTCATCTAAATTCAATTACAATGCCTTCTTTCCCTCGGCCAGTCGGTTCTGCTCAACAATGTATCCAACCGCACGGGCAATACCTTCATCCAAAGGCACGACAGGCAGGTAAGCGAGACGGTGCTTGGCTTTCTCGGTGGAGTAGTAACGAGTCATGCAAGAGTACCGCACTGTCCGAGCTGTGAGACGGGGGGTCTTGCCAAACCATCCCATGACAGTCTCAGCGATACCACCAACAGACTCCAGAAGACCCTCGGGCAAAGCCCAAACCTGGTGAGGCTCAACAACACGGTTGATAAGCGCCCACATGGCACGGGTCACATCCCAGAAGTAGACAGGGGAATCATTGGTGATGTTGAAAGCCTCGCCATCCACGCGCTCGTAGTCGAGGGGCCCGCCCTGACCAGCCGCGCGAAGATCGTAGCTCGCCAGAAGCCGGTGCGCGGCGAGGAGATGGCCATACGCCACGTTGCCGACGTAGGTGAAGTCGAAGAGGTTCTCGTTGTCACCCAGCTGCATCCGTAGCACTCTATCCGATGCCTGGGCGCCGTGCTCCAGGATCTTGTGTGTCACTGTGGTGTCCTTCTCTCCGTGGATGCCGGCCGGGCGAATGGCGCAGGTCAACATCTCGGTTGGGGACTGGCGGTTATACTTCAGAACGAGTTCCTCAGCATCGGCCTGCAAGGAGATAGTTAGCAATTGGTCCAGAAGAAATGCCATTCACTGAATCTCACCTTGGTCTCAGAGTAGTACTCCTTCTGCGAAGGGCCGCGGACGTAGGGCCACTCCTCGTTGACATTCTTTAGGTCACTCTGAGTATCGTGCACGACGGAGCTGGAGCTAGTGTAGACGAAAGCCTTGCACTTGCCACCCCAATCACCGTGCTCACCACCAGCGACCTCGAGAAGCGTCCGGGTTCCCTCCACATTGACCTTGTGCAGCAGCGGCTTGTTGCCCTCAATCATAGAAGGCGAAGCAGTGTGGATGACCAGATCCGGCTTGACAGCCTTGAAAACCTCCATCATGGACTCGACAGACGTGATGTCGCCATCATAGTACTTTGCGCCGGGGAGACGGTTGATGGTTGTGCGCAGGTCGACAACGGACACTGTCGAGTGGTAATCCGGGTACCGCGATCCCAGAGTCGGGAAGTCGAAGCGTGCATCGCCTTGCGGCTTGGGGAGGGCGACGCTGGGATCGGTCTCGGAGGGGAAGTTCAGCAGGTGATCGACAATGTGCCACCCCAGGAAACCGCAGCCTCCGACCACCAGGACATTACCGAGTTCTAGTGTGCGCCTTTTCGCCGACATGATGTGATTTGGAAGGTGGTTGAACTGGTGAAAAGGGGAAGTTCTTGCGGAGAATCAGGTGATCCGTGCGTTCAGTCGTGGCACTTCTAGTCCAACCTGCCGAAGTGGTTGTCACTTACTTGTACTTACTTCGGTGAAGGTAGAAGATCTTTTGATTATTATGCTTGGAACAGCATTGGGATAACAGATATTGGTAGTCTTGACCTGTTGCTCCGACGCCACACGCCCCCACAATCCCCGGCCTCTCCGCCATCGCGAATTCTTATGAACTCGAAGCATAGCTAGACGGAAATGACCTGCAAATCAAAGCAAAGTTGAACCGATGAAACAGATCAGCTAAAGATGGGACCTCATTACGACTCTCCATGGACTGACAGAACCATATCCATGTTGAGGCTAGGATGCCTCCAGCGATGCTCGAAGCTTACGCCGGTAGAGCCTGCGTTCCACTTCAGTCCCCCAGCACAGAGCGCTTGCCTCAGGGTTCACTGTCATTAGTGGGTTGTATGGTGGGTTGTCATCCTCCAGGGTGTTGATGATGCCGTCGATGTGATGGCGGATCTCGTCGGCTCGCGCTGGCAGATAGATCATAACACCCAACTTGGAGACACGGATGTGATAGAGTGGCGACTCAACAAACACACGGGGCTGCTCTATCGGGTGCCGGGGGCTGATGAAAATCTTGATCTTGATGATACCACCCTCCAGTCGAGACTCCGTGCGGCCAACGTAAGTGAGTCGCCAGACGAAAGGGTTGCCATCAGCGAGCGAGAGATCGATAACCTGTCTCTGGGACTTCAGTTCTGCAACGATCTGTTCATGCTGCCCCATCAGCTTCACCGCAATCCCAGCGTCCTCCTTGACCAGCGCCAGGCCCTCGACAGGCCATTTGTGTGTTTCCTGCATCAACTGTCCTTGGACGCTTGCCAGGCGGGCCTTCAGATCGGTGTAATCCCATGTACCCTGCATGATATTGCCCGCACCCTCGAATGGCATCTGGATAAATGGGGTTTTGTGTCTCCGTGCCTCGTCCACGATGCCTTTCTCAATTGCGTTCTTGTAAAGATCCAGATACCAGAGGAATCGTTGCTTGGAAAAGTCAGCAAAGGCACTGAGTGAAGATTGGTCCGGTCCTCGTCGATCGCCAGGTGCTGCTCCAGATACAGGTGGCTGGTCATTTCTTTGCGATCTGTGTTGGTAAGTCAAGAAAGGAAATTGGAGGGCTTTTTCTAGAGGGGCGATGACTGCCAATCGTAGGTTTTCGTGTCGGATCTGTAAAAGTGTTAGTATTCTCATGATCACTCTTCCGGGAAACTGTATCACCTTGGAGTTGTATGCCTCCATGTTCTCAGTGTCGGTACCTCTGGTATCGAACCCCGGCTCGAGGATGTACGGGTTTGAGGACAGCAGACTCTGAATTGACAGCAAGACTGACTCCAGTCCCTGTGCGGGGGACCATTCCTCCCCGCGGTCTCCGGGCCATGTGCTGTTGCATGTTCAGTGATGTCTGATGTAAGGTATGAATCGGGATGGCCTTACCCCAGAATCGATCTAGCACAGTCAGTACGGGGTCTGAATATTCTTGAGCAACACTTACAGGCAAACCCTCCCACTTGCGTAGAGGTTAGGACCGAAGCGTGTGCGTCCCTGGTTAGTAGTCTTGAGCCTCACCACTGGCGGGCTCGCAGGGTAATCTGACTTGGTTAGCCTTGGGATGATTTGTGATGACATATCAGAGCATCTCACCAGAAGGGATTCTTATCGCAAACTGCCAGGGTTAGCATCAGTCCATGAGAATCTGGTTAATCTGAGGTTGAATCTCACTTCATAAAAGCCCAGCTCGTAGGGTGTGCCTGGGGGCCCGATAATGAGGGCTTGGATGTCTCGCGTATTGTTTTCATCGTAGGCGACAGTGAAAGCTATCTTGGTGTCAGCGTGAGATTTCAAAGGATTGGAGCGTCTCATACCGAGTTGCTCACTTCGCTCGAATTGAGCCAGTTCCTGGGGCATTAATACAGGTCACACTGTCATGGTGGGGAGACTTACTCGCACCAGCCGCAGTGAACACTGGTCAGCCATCCTGATAGAAGACAATTCAAGGGGCGAGGTGCAAGAAGAACGAAGGAGTATAAAGTCAAGAGTGTCAGATGTGTGAAGGTGCCGAGATGAGTTGTCCGCTGTACCTTTATATATTTGTTTACTCTGGGATTGTTCGAGCTTCTTTTTCTTCTTTTTCTTCTTTCTCTCTCTCTTTCCCCCTTTTCCTTTACAAGGTTGTAATTCTGTTTGCTAATTACAGTTATTGCGATTATTCCTGTTCTTGCCATTTATTAAATTATCTTCGTGTGTGATTTTACTCTCTTTGTGCGGGTCATCACATACTTTGTGTCCGCAGGAGAGAACCAAGGACGGTATATATGTTTGTGGTTGACTAGATGAGTCAAAGATATCGTCATTAGAGAGCCTAAGAGATAGGGTGTTGATATATAGTATAGCTGTCATGAATACGCTATCTTAAAGTTGGTATAGGCTCTGTGCTATAAAAAGCACTAGATGCGAAAGGGGCAGAACATATAGTATACACGGAGTACGCCATACTCTATACTATATACTATGCAGTAAATCGAATAGAGAATATAGAATATCTCAGTCATACAACAGATATCTTCTTGACTGTCTACTCATCTAAGTATAGATGGTCCCTGACTCACGTGACCAACCATAAGGGGGGCAACAAATGCCCAAGCCATCTCCATCTCCATTCCTCCCCAGCCCACTTCTTTTCCCCTCGCCCTTGCACTTTAATTTTCCTTTGGGAATGCTTGTTGAGACTTGTCAGTTTTACCTTGAAAGCTCCAATCCCCACTCCTTCAGCCTGCGCGCTTGGAGACCCTGGACCCTCTATACCGCCTTCGCATCGTGAACTCGATCTCGCGCGCTATTCTCCTTGCCCCGTACTTCATCTGCCACTCCGCCTGTCTTGGCTACATGGCGTGAAGGTGAGTACTGTCCGTGGTTCAGGTCCAGTGTGAAAGGCTAACCAAACAAGACCTCGAACCGTACGCGCTCAGTCTTGAATCCCCCACCGTTAATCGCGTTGTACCCTCGAGTCGACACTTCCCCGGCCGCTTTCTTCAACACTTTGCATGCAGCGTTTGGTGTGATTTCATTCAGCAACGCCTTCCTTCTCTTTTGACGGGGGACCAAGATGCCCCCCGGTGAACTACCAGCTAGCCTGGTCGCAGGCAACCCCAGCGGCCGTCCTACCGTCAACACCTCGGGCTACGGGGCTAGCTATACAAAAAACACACCTACCTCTCCCGAAGACAGTCTGATTCCATTCGAATCACCAACCACACGAACTGGTGGCCCAAGTCCAATCACCCCAGTGAACCAAGAGGATGGTCGTTCGAGTCGCGGGCTGGGTCCCGACCAGGCCAGCTATCGCGACCGTTCAACACACTCGGCCCCTCGAGACAGATCGCGAGCGAACGGGCGTCAACACAACAAGTCCCCGGGCGGCTCATCGCGCCTGTGCCAGAAATGTGGTGAATCACTCACCGGTCAGTTTGTGCGGGCCCTAGGGGGCACTTTTCATCTGGAGTGTTTTAAGTGCGAGGTAAGTTGACTCCCTATCGCTGGTTTGCGGTGGATTCTTTCTGACTATCCCTGCTGTTAGGATTGTGGTGAAATCGTTGCTTCAAAGTTCTTCCCCGTGGACTCGGAGGATGGGAGCTGCCAATTCCCGCTGTGTGAAACCGATTACTTTAGACGACTGAGTCTCCTTTGCCACGAGTGTGGTGGAGCGCTACGGGGGTCATACATCACTGCGCTGGACCGCAAATACCATATTGAGCATTTTACTTGTTCAGTGTGTCCGACCGTCTTTGGTGCCCAGGACTCCTACTACGAACACGAAAGCAAGGTCTACTGTCACTTCCATTACTCCACTCAGTTCGCCCAGCGGTGTCACGGGTGTCATACTGCGATTTTGAAACAGTTCGTTGAGATCTTCCGCAACGGCCAAAACCAACACTGGCACCCCGAGTGCTATATGATTCACAAGTTCTGGAACGTCAGATTATCTCCCGCGGGTCAGACATGGGAGCCTCCACCGGTGGATGAGGATGCGAGTGAGGAAGAACGCAAACAGATTCGTGAAGAGGAAGACATCATGGAGGAGAAGGTTTTCAACATCTGGAACACACTCTCAACGTTTGAGGAATCCTCTGCTGCTTGCATCTCCGACATGCTACTCCATGTCAGCAATGGCGCTTATCTTGACGGCGTGCTTGTCGCCAAACGCTTTATTGGTCACGTCGAAATTCTGTTTGGCGCGGTAGACCAACTAGCGAACTACATTAAATCCCACGAGTTGAAGGGTGAGTCCACCGATCCCTTGGATTCATCTGAACCAACGGCTAATGTCACATCAGAACTGTCTTATGGCCGTGAAGCCAAGCTTCTCTGCAAGAAGATTGTCGCTTTCTTCGCTCTTCTGTCGAAAACGCAAGAGACCGGGGTGCGCAAACTCGGCGTCACACAAGAGCTTCTGTCTTTGGTGACTGGTCTTGCTCATTACCTCAAGCTCTTGATCCGCATTGGATTGCAGGGTGCACTCAAACTGGAGCGAGAGAAATCTTCACCTGATGGCTTGCATAACTTCCTGGAGCATCTCCGTGATCTTGAATCACTCGCAGAACTGGAAGATGAGAATGCCCCACTCGATCTTATGGCTGGGGTAGAGGGGTTGGCCGATCAGCTGTCAGATTGCTGCATTGCCTGCAAAGAACCGATCGATGACGAGTGTGTTTTGTTAGGACAGAGTCGTTGGCACATCAAGCCACCTCATCTTTCATGCTCTACATGCGAGAAAGATTTGACTGACGAACTCTCCGATGCATTATGGAGTGAAGCTGAGGAGCAGGCCTACTGCAGCGACTGTGCCACTCGGAAGAATCTTGGTTCCACTGTACGAGGTGGTTTCATCCCAGTCTCAAAGCTGCAGCAATTCATCTTCCTGCTGAAGGTGGCACTGGCTCGACTTCTCGCTGTACTTCGGTCTGGAGGAACTTTGCCCCACACCTCAGGTGAGATTTACTACCATGCCCCCGATCCCGCTAGCAGTCTGGCTAACTTGTTACGCCTCAGACGACCCTAATTTGCAGGGATACAACGACAATGGGGGTCACCGGACGCCCGGCGACGTTCGCCGCGCTAACACACGCTCTCAATCTTACACTGGTGGCTCCCGAGATGGTCTGGAAGAATCGTCCCTTGAGCAGACCGTGGGTGAGATGCGGCGACTGCGCTCTATTCGCAATGAGCGGACTCTTTCCACAACATACAAGAGGGCCCGCGCATCAAGGATCATTGATGGCCCGGAGGGAAGAAGTGCCCGACCAGGATCCTCCGGTAACGATGGATCTGATCCAAGGGGTCCTGGATTCCAGATCGTTGAGGAAAGAGATGCGAATGGCGATACTGTCACCGATTTGACATTCGGTACACAAGATGCTTTGACGCTGGACGATATTCCACGCATCGTTGCGGCCGAGCAAGCCAAGGAGCAGCGACCCAATGCATACAAGCATGCCGGCACAAAGCTTGTCGGTGGGATAGAACCGATGCCCAGATACAACCGCGGCCATCAACGCGGGGTGTCGAGTGGAAACCTGGAGGCACTCATGGAGCCTACCCGGTCCAAGCGATACTTCTCTGAACTGACGGCTTTGGAGTACTTCATCGTCCGTCACGTTGCTGTGTTACAGATGGAACCCCTGTTGGAAGGTTATTTCAACATGGAGGAGTTGCTCTCACTTATTGAGTCGCGCAAACCCACCATTTGGAACATCTTTGGTCGCGCCTTCAAGGATAACAAGAAGGGCGGCAAGAAGAAGGGTGTCTTTGGTGTTGGTTTGGACTACTTGGTTGAAAAGGAGGGCACAGAGTCAAGCCACGGTGTTGGCCCTGGTGCGCTCCGCATTCCAACGTTGGTTGATGATTCTGTTTCCGCCATGCGGCAGATGGACATGTCAGTGGAGGGTGTCTTCCGAAAGAACGGCAACATCCGGCGACTGAAGGACATTGCGGAGTTGATTGACACCAAATATGACCAAGTCGATTTGACAAAGGAGACTCCTGTGCAGATTGCAGCACTCTTGAAGAAATTCCTTCGTGAGATGCCTGATCCCCTTTTAACATTCAAGCTTCACCGACTCTTTGTCATCTCACAAAGTAAGTTTACGGTCTAGCTCTATCTAGTTGGAAAGATACTAACCTGTCACAGAACTTCCCGACCCTGAGAAGCAGAAGCGAGTACTGCACTTGTCATGCTGTCTGCTACCTAAAGCTCACCGTGACACGATGGAAGTCCTCTTCGCATTCTTGAACTGGACGTCATCCTTCTCGCACGTGGACGAGGACTCTGGGAGCAAGATGGACATTCACAATCTTGCAACTGTCATCACACCCAATATCCTCTACCCCAATGCTAAGAACAGCACTGTGGATGAGAGCTTCTTGTCTATTGAAGCTGTCAACGCCCTGATCACGTATAACGACGCCATGTGCGAGGTAAGTAAACCAGCCTTCTGTCCTACGTATGTGTACTGACTATTCTTATAGATTCCGGAAGACCTGCAACAGATCTTAAGCGATCAGACTCTTTTCAGGGAGAATGCCGAAGTGACGACCAAGGAAATCCTGAAACGGTACGGTGATATTGCACGAGGCAGCTTCTCACAGAAACCTGAGAACGGCGGTGAAACATTCACTATTACCACGCCCAACCGCAACAACAGCGCCCCAGCTTCCGCACGCATCGAGACCGACCCCTCTCAGGACGCGGCCTGGCAAATGCAGAGCTCAGTCCGCCATGTGCCAGGGCCCAGCAGTCACACGCACTCCGCCAGCGCTAACCCCCAAGCTGGCCTCGACTTTGGCCCGCCTCCAGCGGCTTATCACCGTGACCGTAGCACCAGCAACGGCAGCCAGCCAAATGCCGGTGCACCCGATGCTCAACCCCAAAATGTTGCATATCGACCGCGTCCAAGTCCAGGCGCCATGGGCGTTACCGGATAGACAGGTTCTGGTTCTACTTTTTACTTTATTTCTGCACAACTGTTCTGTGATACATCTTGATTTGCATCCGTCCTTCTGATTCATTCTCCGTGGAGTGTTTTCTTTTCTTGGGGGCTTGCTTAGCGTTCTTTTTCTTCTCCTTTTTGTTGAGTGATAGGCTTGGTTGACGGAGTTCTTTTCCTTTTACCCCCTGAAAATTCCCCCAAGTGATCAAGCTGGTTGATCGCTGTGGATTAGTTCCTGTTTTATCTCCATCTCTATAGGGGCTATGATGCCTTGCTTTTTTTTGTTCATCTGCATCTGATTAGAGGGATCAGCCATACCCATACTGTCCCTCTGGGCCATACATGTCCTGCTTTTCATTCTTTTCCACTTTTGAGCATGCTCATTTTCTTCTTTTCTTGTGGGCCAGGCTCCGGCTTTACCTAGACCCTTTTTTCCCTTTGCTTCCATTTTTATTCTCCTCCCTTGGTTGCCTTTTTAAAATACCAGGGAGCCTCTTATTTCCTTGCTCTTTCATTTTGTCCAATGAACATGATTGCTATGGCACCCGAAGTGTAGATTCTGAAGTAAACTGTGAATTGCCTTTTCTGGTTAGTTCTCCACCTGACCTCTCCCTTGTCTATCCACACCTGTGTCTGGTCATTCTTATGCTTTGCAGCTCTCTTCACTTTGAATCTGTACATTATGCACCTCCGTCCACTGTCACCAGAGGTGGTCGTGCAAATATGCGAGTACGTTGCACCTGATGACCTACCTAGTGTTTACGAGTTGGCCCTAGCAAGCAAACAAAGCTATGTTGTCGCTAGTAGACATCTGTTTCCTCAAATTTATCTGAGCATTGCCAGCCGCGAAGAAACTGGCCAGATATGTCAAACGATGGAGTAAAATTCTCCATGAGGCGATCTCGTTTACGTCTGTTCTTCATTTGTTAGTCCGAGAAGAAATGCCGTTGATAGACCGCGATCGGGGAGATATGACACCCAAGATCGGGTTGCCAACCCTGGCTGTCACAAGGATGTATTGACTTGTCTTCGAAAGTACTACATAAACGATATCAACGGCGTCATTAATTGTGTCCCTCCGCCTCAACATGACAGCTGGGGCCTGCTTCACTCTTGTGGGCCAACCATCGGGCCTCTGATATCACTTGGAGCTGTGGGACCCTATTTCCGCCCTGTCTATCCTCCATCGATCGATGCCAAAATGAAAACTGCATATCATGTCATTCAAATTGCCAAGTCTATGCTACAAGACTGATAACCCTCAGGATATCGACGCATCTGAATATGAGTTAGCTACGTCGCCTTGGTTATCCAGTATCCTCGTTCCTGTTACCTGTTACAATTTTTATAAAAAGGCAGACTATAACGGCGATGCAGTGATTGAGGTAGCAAATGGACTAGCCCCCATTCTAACCAATGTACACCTGTTTTTCGAGTCACCAGGTCTCTCCTGTCTCAATTCAATCCCACTATCTCGACCTCCACAGCGAGGCTTCTTTCCAAACTGCTCAAATTGGGATGGCAGCTCGTTCAAAGGACACCTAAGAGAATTAAGTCTCAGCCTGCCAGTGGGTAAGGCCGGCTTCATCGGTACTTGAAAAGAGCAAAACGCCTTCGCTGACCTACTGGGTATACATCTGTGGAAGTTCCCTGTCTTGGAATCACTGGTCCTAGATTTCGGGTTCACAAGAGACAAAGAGCTCTCCGGCTTCTCGATGAAACAGAGAGTGTATTTGTCTCATCTCTTCCGCCTCTGTAGAGCATACGCATCTCCGGCAGCGTCCGAACGAAAGTATTTCAAGCCATGCTTGAACAACATGGCAAATCTCTGCGCAAAGCTTCCCTCATATCCGAAGAGCGGATAATAAATATGAAAATCCTTCTCACGATAGATGGCTTGTGCGGACTCGCGCTGCCGGCCTCAACATGCAGGAACTGCGCTTTACCATGTTCACGACAATCGGCGAAGATGGGAAAGCTGTCTACAAAGCAGTTGGAGAATTCCCCTACCTAACGGACCTGAAGATATTAATGATTTGTATCGGACGGCCCGAAGAGCGGGTATCTAAAGATCCAAAACTGCAATCTCGTTATTATGGGAACATCAAGGTCAATGCTAGGCTGGTGGAGACTTTATCAAGCAGTCATCTTCCTTGCAACGTCTTGAAGTGGACTTCCACGCCATGTTTTCACGCCGATGCAGGTGCATTCGGATGGAATATGTAGGGTTATCGTGCGTGAGATTAGGGAAATCAAACCAAGACAAAGACATGAAAAATGGAGTTGGGTTCTCCATAGCCTTAAGCTTTCGGAGAGGGTCGACGGCGAAGGAATGGATGGAAAGGGGCTGCTCGCCACAAAACCTCACACTATGAATGCTTCTAGTGGTAACCTCTCGAGCTCTTGCATGCGAGTCTCACAATCTGATCCATTAAACACACTATCTAGGTAAGCTGTAAGAGCAGAAAATCAATTGTAACATCTCTCGAGTGGCTGTTCCTCGGGGAACAACCATGCATCATCCACCGAACCAACCAACCAAGACTTTAACTCTTCAAAAGCATCCGAATCATTCTTCTCCAAGACAACATCATTCGCCGGATCATGCCATGCGTCAGTTTGTCCAGCCCCAGTAGTATCTAGCGATTCCCCAATCCTCCGACAACTCCCAAAATCAATATTTACCGGCTCATCAAGCTCATCAAACATGATATTGGACGGGTTGAGATCATTGTGCACCAAACCAAGCGAATGAAGATGCCTAATAGCATCCAAAATCCCAACTAGACCAATCCTGACAGCATCATCGACTTGCAAGCGTGCACTAGAACGGAAGTCGTCCTTGTTCAAGTAGTCCGGGTTAACCCTCTGATACATAGTCGCTTTGTAGCGCTTGAAGCAAAGACCCGTAACATGGCCATTCTTCTCTCGACAACCGTAGTAGGTAGCGATATTAGGATGTGGATTCCGGCGCAAGATCTCATTGATCTCAACCTCGTGTCGCATGGTATCCTCCAGCCCAGGATCATGAAGGTCGTTGAGACCTGGCGCTTTGAAGTGGCAATTCTGTTCCAAGGTCACAGCCCATGTTTCCTGTACTTCTGGACCTATATCCTCTGTTTTGATCAACTTGAGATTCCGCAGCTGGCTTGGGTGTGTTGGTTTCGTTGATCGATCGTCCCACGTCCCGTAGTGTATGTTGCCTTCGTGTCGGACGTAGAAGTTCTGCCAGCAAAACTGGAGTTTGCCATTCTCTTCTATGAAGGTTTCGGATTGCTGGATAATCTCCATTGCTGGGGGATAGTATAGCGATAAATTGTATGGACGGGGTATGCTAGAATAGAGTCCGTATTTTGACCGCCAATTTGTAGCGGTGTGATAGATCGGACATCTAGATGGTTGGTAGTAGAATGACAGGGGTTAAGCGTAGCATGCGGGAATGCGGGCTTGTTGTTGGAACGTGTCAGTCCATCTCTACAGGAGGCCACTCGTGGCCTAGAACGGATTGAACAAATAATGAACTGAGAAATGCCCCCATAAAGGACATGAAGGCAAAGTTGACACTCGAGAATGCAATACACCTATTACGATACCACTCCAAAAAATCCAAGAAGAACAGCGCCCAGGCTCAAATTGTTCATGTAGTCTGTAGTCACCCACGCTCAAAGTAACACGAATCCCACCTAACTCCAACAAGGAAGAAAAGAAAATAGCTGTACAGCGCATGCCAGAATGTCTAGATCCGCTTGCGCAACGCTCGGGTCCGAGTTGCACTTTCAGTGGCAGCTGGAGCAGTGGTCTTCCGCATCGACGCGGTATTAGCAGGTTTCTTGACAGCCATTGATGCAGCCTGCATGCGAGGAGCAGCCGGCTTCTTTGCAGCAGCGCTAGAAGCCGCTGTGGCCTTTCTAGCACCAGTTCCAGTTCGAGTTGGTTTCATAACTGTTGTACCCGAGGATGCGTTGGACGAGGCACTATTCCTGCGCTCCGCCTGTCGGGTAGCCGGGCGCGGCAAAGGTGAACGAGTAGTAGTTTTTGGTCCTGTCGCAGCACGATTGGTCGTCTTCTGAGCCCGGGATGGAGGACGCTGGTCCTTCACGGCGGATACAGTGGCACCGCGTGATCGCAGTGGACTAGAAGGCTTCAGTGGAGATGTGGGGCGGGATAGGTAAGATGATTGACCCTTTTCAGGCGAGGCACGGAAGGGCGAGTGGGGGTATGTTCGTGAGTTGATTGACTTGGGAGACAAGATTCGGTTCTCGTTGCCTCGCACTTCTTGAGACGCCACGCGCGAAGCCCCGCCGGCGGGTCCTGCCTTCACGCGGCGCTTAGGGTTGTTCAATCCTTCACTGGCAGGAGCATTCTCCTTGTCAGAGAAGTGGCCATCAGGGCTGGAGAACTGGTTAGTAGGCGAGTCAAATTGAGCGTGCGGACATCGTACCTTGCCCTTCTAGTTCGACCGTCGCGTGCAGCAGAGGTTTCTGGATCGATAGAAATGCTGGCAATGTTACGCGAAACCTTCGCAGGGGAGTACTTTCGAGAAGGCGACAGATTCTGTTGTTTGTTTGTCGTGGCATTGTGCTTCTCAAGTAGCTCGCCCATGTTGGCCTTGCGCAGCGAGAGTGGGATTCGGTTGACGCGTCGTTCAATACGCGCTCGGAGGTCGTTGGCTTGAAGTGCATATTGAGCACGAAGCTTACGCGCCCGCTCCGTAACTGCGGGCAAGTTAGTACCGTGACGGCCTGGGAGAAGGATGTCGCAACCCACTTTCAAGTTGTAGATTGTCCATCAGTGCCTGCTTTTGATGTTGAGTGAGACGCATCCTTTTGGTAGGACTGCCCGTAGGCGTGACGTCCATAGCGTCGGAGTTACGCTTGACAGCGGGCATTGTGTGCTCGAAGGGATATATGTGGGATGTATCAAGAAGTCAAGGCGTGCGGAGCAAGGAGGACTGAGGACCAACAACAAACAGCGTGCGGGCGGAGAGCCCTGGCAGAATGCAGAGCTTCCACCTCTCCTTCGTCATCCGTCTTCATCTCTACGATCTGCTCTCCTTTACCTCCTTTACTTTAATTCCATTCCTATCCGCCATCATGTCACTTGAAGCTACTATGATCATGTCCGTTACTTTCCTCTTCTTTCTGGCTTCTAATGCTGACTCCAAGCTACAGTGTCGACAACAGCGAAAGCAGTCGCAATGGAGACTACACGTGAGTATATCCAATGTTGCTCCTCTTCCATCTGGGGATGACGTCTAATTCTGTTAGATCAACCCGGTGGCAATCTCAAGTCGATGCTGTTAGTGTCATCCACAGTGCCAAAATGCGTGTACACCCGCAGTCAGCTGTCGGCCTCATGAGCATGGGCGGCAAGGGTCCCGAGGTGCTGTCAACCTTTACATCAGACTTTGGCGCAATTCTGGCCGGTCTGCATCAGACGAAAATCCACGGCACATCCCATCTCAGCTCGAGTATTCAGGTTGCAGCTGTAAGTTCTCCACGCCCGATTTCTAAGCTCCTCATGACTGACCTAGATGATATCTTAGTTGGCCCTCAAGCACCGTATGGAGAAGTCCCAACGCCAACGCATCGTCGTATTCTCATGCTCCCCTATCGAAGAAGATGAGAAGACCCTCGTGAAGCTGGCCAAGAAGATGAAGAAGAACAATGTGTCGATCGACGTGGTGGCATTCGGAGATCTTGAGTCAGACCAGACCAAGAAGCTGGAGGCCTTTGTTGAGAACGTCAAGAGTGGTGATGGATCCCATCTCGCTATCATTCCCCCGGGTCCTCATCTGCTTAGCGAGGAGCTGCAGCTGACCCCGATCCTGGCTGGTGAGGATGCCGGCACCGGCGGCGGAGGCGGCGAGGGCGGCGAAGGTGGTGGCTTCGGATTCGAGGATGCCGCTGAGAACGACCCCGAGCTGGCCTTTGCTTTGCGGTTATCGCTCGAGGAGGAGAAGAACCGACAGGAGAAAGAGAAGCGCGATCAGGAAGAGCAGGAAGGCAAGACGCAACTGGGCAATATCCCCGAGGAAGGCTCCAGCGGTGACAAAGATAAGAAGGATGAGGACAAGATGGACACAGCGTAAGGTTCTACTCGAGCCTTGAATATGATCGTGATGCATACCCGGCGTTTACTTTTGCTTGTCCTGTATTCTTGAGCCGGCCCTCCTGGGTACGTTCTATAGTGCAAGAGAAATATGTGTGATTTTGGTAGACGAGACGGAGTGATCTCCGGACACAAGTACAAGAAGAAACCGTATCTAATTCGTAAAGTCATGATCCTCCCATGGAGGGTTATGTCCTCCCTCTCAACCATGCGCCCAGATGCCTATCAAATGCCTCACACCGCACAGGCATCTCGAGCTGATAGAACGGATTCTTCATCACGTAGTCCGCATAGAGCTCATAGATCTTCTGCACGATTGTCTCCACATTGCCAGTCATCGGATCCGTAAACAACAAGAATTTCGTCCCCGTCAAAGTCTGGAAACATGTCAATCGGAACTTGTCGGTTTCGAGGTAATCCAGGCCAGTTACTGGCACGCCGGGATTCGGATAGGAGTATCCGGACGCAGCAGGAGTGGTGGTGCCTGGGGAGGAGGTAGCGGGGGAGGGCGTCGGTTGTGAGATAGGCAGTTTAGGGGTGATAGAGCGAGTAATGGCGTGGACACTATCAAGATCAATGTCAGACGGTCTTCAAGTTCAACAGGAGAAGGGGTGGCATACCCGTGGAAGGTGCCCGCTAAGACGAGGTAATCATTTGTCGACAGTTTGCGCAACCCGGGCTGGAACTCGCGCTGGTAGATGAGGCCACCGGCTTTGTTGATTATGATTAGGGAGAAGACCGTCCTGTTGTTAGAAGGCATGTCAGTTGCGGCCAGGTGGTGCGCAGGTTTGGGGACGTAGCGTACATGGTGAACGGGTCTGGATCGAGCGTAGCCTGGAAAGCAAGGGGCGAAGAGCGCTAGTGCGTATGCGTCATGCCTGACAAGGTGGATCGAGGCGAAACACAATTGGCGTAGATGTTCCTGCAGATGTCCAGATGTTAGGGAGTCGAGTTCCGGGTGTGGGGTGACCGCCTTGGAGATACAGCTTCAGTCTACTGGCGATTTTGTTAAGGAAATAGTCAGGGAAACTAATGATAAATTCCTCTAATATATCTCTATGTAATGCAAGATATGCAATTTATACCTAATTTTCTTCTTATGGAATTCTTAAATAAATGGTCTTCTATTCGGGGAATACTGTATCGTTTTTTTATACCTCGAGGGCTTTCCTAATGATTTGATCACCGCAAAGAATCACTGTCCCATGGCCATAACATTTCTAGTGCATTTATATTAACCAGATTATTGCTATAAGGTTATCTGCCACAAATGAGCAACAGTCACCCACACACTGAGGTATAAAAACCCAAGCTGCCCTCACAAAATCCAAGTCAAAATGGCCCCAAATTTTCTCCAGGCTATCTCAAAGTAATGAAAAGATTGCCCGGATGAGATCTGTGAGAATTATTCAAGGGCAATCGGAATCCCAGATCCTACTTGTGAGGTCAATGGTAATCCATTCAATCGATGAAAGTTGCTAATCCCACTAGACGAATAGCCGTACAACGTTGCTCGAAAATGCAATCCTTAAGAGTCCCTTCTTTTGGCTGCTTGTGAAATAGAAGATTGCTTTACCTTGAGCTTATAAGTGATCAGCTAGTGCACATCCACTGGAAGGAGCTGTCGCCATTTCAGCTGAAACGTGGAGAATGCCGCTGGGAGTTGTGGCACGCTGTCTGCGAGCGGCGTGAGGAATTCCCGAGCGCTCTTATTTTGATTGTTGTCGGAATTGGCAGACCGAGGCTGTGTTTGAACTGAAAAGTCCGACAATTGGCGGCGTAAAGTGGTTAAGATACTGGCAAATTGGGCAAGTCATCATCCTTTTGTCGAGACAATACCTTATATTTGGTAGCCGGGAAGAAGCATTGGAAGTTCTTTCGTGACAAACATCTCTGTGACGATCAAAGTTATGGATTTCAGCTGCCTTGGTTTGCAATACGTTGGAACGTACGGAGTAAGTCTGGGCGACGATGAAAAGGACACAATTATGCGTGGTCTTTGGGTCACTAAACCGTGGTGTTTTCATGCGTCTGCTTTCCACTATCCTTTGTTACGCGTAGTGTTAAATTTTACTCAGTATACACCGAACTAACTATACCAACTCAAGAATATGGGTATGGCGCGTACATAAGGAGTGGGCGATAAAAAGGGCCATTTATCCCTCTTTGCTTCTATTCTCGGAATTTAGGTCTCTCGTCGAAAGCACCTTCACCCTAGACTTAACTTGTCCGTTTCTTCATTTCCTAGTATGCTTCCGAAACGTTCGATGAAGCGCATAGGTGATTTCGATTGAGACAATTTTGTTCATTAATCGGATGCGCTAGTTGAGAGTGCACTTACCGATGCTACAAAGAGACACCTGAATTATATGAGAGATCATTTTGGAAAGTACTTGTGCCCTATATTCCCTCCTAAATGCTTGCATCCATTGTTAAGTCATCATTATAGGTTTATATCACGGAGTCTCTAGGAAGCATACACTGATCTCTCGCAACTATAGATGATCGACAATATATAGTTGTCGACACGTTAGCGTTGACTCACCGTAACAGTACCCTTTATGTTAAATAAACATTACTAAGTTACTCGTATTTGCTACCTTAACTCTTTATCTTAAAAACACTCACTAATAGACTAATACTTCGGTATATATCGATTCAGCGCTGTATCTAGCATCGTTACTCGATACCGTTGAGAGGATTTAGCCCGTATAGGCCTACTAGGCAACGGTACGGTTAAGAGACAGATCATTCACGTTAGAAGACAGAGAAGTATAGGCAAATATAACCTAGTATTCTTCTAACATAGCGACAACCAGTTAGTCGTGCGTAACACTTAGTCCCTAATGTCTGAATAGGATTGACGGGTTGCCCGTGGCAAAGCCTTAACAGGTCCATCGATTGCCACCAGCCAACTACCAACCCTTTCCAGATTGTCCGTGTGTCTCCCAGGAGGATGCCCATGTCTCGGTGGTGCCCATGTCTCGAAGAACAGCTGCACCCAAAGTTGCCCGTGGCTGAGCCTTCACGAGGTCCGCAGTACAGGATGTCTTCAAACCTTAACGAGTTCGAGACTTAACGAGGCCTCTGGGCCTTGAACGAGGGCTGTCCAAAGCCAGCTTGACTGCCTATGTCACCGGTTTACTACTCTGACGAGCGGGCTGTGGCGAGGTCTAAGTTTCTGAAAGGCTGGAAGGTTTTCGAGGCCTGTGTGACTGAGATTGCGATTAAGGAGCAAGGAAGCACTATTTAACTTGCCCGAGGGCCTAAGGATACATGTACCACAGGCGTTGGATCCACACGTTTTATTTCTGTACATACAGAGCACTCCTCCCTTTTTCTGAAGATCGAAATAAGTACAATGATGTTCGGCAAGAACTATTATTCTTTAATTTCTGCGACCATGCTAGCCTAGACAATTTAACCATTAATGCTAGGGACAGATATCGAAATTGATGCCGTGACTTGGTAAATTGATACACTGAGGATATTAACCTAGCGGTCGAAAACACTCTTTAGCATAGAAATTTATGAACTCAAAAGGCTTCCTACTTGCTCAATTTAACGAAAAGAAACAGCGAGACAATAGCACACTGCTCAACAAATGTCAATTATACCCTTTACTAGGGATAGAAGTAAGATCAATCAGAAAGTTGCGGCACATGAGATGAAAAACATAAAATGAAGTTGAACTCAAGTGCAAGAAAGATCACTGCAGTATCCACTGTCACAGAAGAGTTGAATCTTCCACCTTTACCATTATCCACCTGCAGTAGGAAATCCGTATTCGGAGCAAGCAAGTCGCAACTCGCAAATCACCAGCTCTCACCCTCATGGGAATTCCAACCCCCGTGGGTAGAGGTAGCTGTCACCGTAGAAGTGACAGTGTCTGTAGTGGTGAAAGTGTCTGTAGTAGTGATGAAATCCGTGGTTGTGGTGGTGACGGTGTCCGTGGTGGTGACAGGGGGGTCAGTGGTGGTAGTGGTGGTGGTGCTGGTGGTGGTGCTGGTGGCGGTAACGGTTACTGTAGTCTTTGTCGGGGAGCATTTGCAGGCACTAACACTTATATTTGTTATTTTCGCTGGTCTGATATTTAGGAATAACTGGAGACTAACGCAGCGTTTTCGTTCGTCCATCCGGCACTGTGATCAGTCGTTCCAGGCAGCGCGGTGACATAGGCACAGATAGTTAAGAGAGTAAAGAGAGAGAACTGCATCTTGAGAGATATATTCTTGACGGATATGAGTATAAGGAAGATTCTTTTTGAATTTAACAAGAGCTTCTTGTCGCGACAGGTAGGATCTTATATAGCCAGCTCGAGGTAGGTAGTTTACTATCCAGGTATCCAGTAACCAATAGATTGATTTGTTCCGTTACTCGGATAAAGAGGCTCTATCTACATTCTCAGTGTATTGACCGTTACTCGGGGCAAGGACCTGTCATCGCGCGACCCACCAATCAGGTTAAGGACAGGCTTAACTCCTTACCTCTACGACGAAAATTCTTGAAACGTTAATATCCCTAGATACTACAATACTATCAGCGACGATCGAATGCAGAATGTTCATATATTTGCTCTATAGCGCGTAACCAGCTCTGCACTTGAGGTCTGACCGTGAAACCCTTTGTGGTAGAAAAAGGGGGAATTAAGGCAACGAGGCTTACTAGACTTACAAGGAATGTGATTTCTGTTAAGTCTATGCAAACTGAGCGGATGATCTCTTGCAGCTTGCTCAGGTCCCATGCAGCATTGAAAGCGTATGTCGGGGTAGCATCCAAAAACTCCGATGTGATATACCCCCCGGCCTAGGCTCTTAACAACAGGATATCTTTCAATGAGCCTCTAATACATAGGAAAAGAAAAACTTCAAATTGATAGATATTTTATCCCCTCGCACCGATTCCTCGCCCTAATTAGCGCCTCGATCACGTATTCTCCTACCCATAAAATAATACCACCCTATTGCTGGATTGCTGCTTTTCATGGGGAAGAAGCGCCTAGCTACCTGTGGTTAATTGCTCCCGGAAGAATTAAGGACCGAAAAAACCATACCTGAATGTGCATTCTGTGGCTGATAAGGGTTAAATATGTTGAAACCTTCAATACACTGTGTAGCTAGACGCGGTGTGATCTGTAACGAATAGTTCCTTCTTCGACCAATGAAATGTATGAGTCAAATAGTTGGGATTAGAATCAGGGGGAAAAAGAAAAGGTACATTCTATGTAGTTGACACAGCGTGTGGGCGTCTGCAGCCAAAGCTTGTAAGGAACCCGTCTGCCATTGGCTGGAAAATGCAGCTGCCCTCTTAACCCTGTGAGTAGGTTCCCTATTGTCCCTCGACTGACCGATCAGAATCGTAGCATGCTTAAGGAATGCATGCCTTCTGTCAAGCTCGTATGTACCCTACACTCAAATTCCCGCAGATTGGGCCTGAATTGTTAGAAGAAATGGGCCAAAAAAAAGTAAAGACAGAATATCAGGGGAATGTCGGAGATATAAAGCGAAATTGCCGAACTGAAAATAATCGATACAAGCATTATAATGTTTCTTTAAATATTTAGATTTACTAGATTTGATCTGAAAGAGTAGGAGGTAATGGAGCTTAAGCAGTTCTTCTCTCTAGATAAGGTTAAAGCTCTAAAGGGAGACAAAGATAAGAAGCCTAATAATATTGAGATAGAGGCAACTAGTGATATAGAGGAATAGGACGGAAATTTTAATAGGTTCAGAGGGGTTAGATAATAATACTAATAATATTGCTAAGCTGTAACTACTAGAGAACACAACCTAGTTACGATAGGAAGTAAAAGAAAAAGTAGGGAGGATAATTCGAGTATTACTAGTGTATAAGTACCTTAAAATAAGGGGATCGGTAATTACACCCCCCCCTTCAGTAATTACACCCCCCCGTGCCTGAATTTGGCCTGAATTCGGCCTGAGTGCCTTACAGACCAGGCATAAATTGACCGCTTTTCTCACCGCTTTTGTGCCGAACTTTTATTTTATTACCACCTGGTCTACCAC